CTGTAGGAATATGCTATTAATGTGATTGACCATTACCACATCTTATTCTGATATCAAAACATCTTTCACTTTAAGATATTAAAACGTTGATCATGTGAACGAGCAGCAAAAGTATCCCTTATTAGTAGACAAATTAATACTTAAATTACTAAACACCAGAGAAATTAAAAACTGCAGCTTAAATAAGCCCTATCAGGTATTTGGTGGAGGAAACCAAACTGTTCAAGTGTTACTGTTTTTAAAAGTAAAGTTTTACCACTCTGTTATACTCATTATAGAGTATTTGAATCCCCCCCCTAAAAAAAGGAAGACAAAGAAGACTATATAATTGTTTGTTTATAATCTATTCTACTGTTTTTATGTTTTGCTTTATAAATCATATTTGAATCCTATTTCTTTATATTGACATTTTTATGTTATTATAAACATAGTTTTTAATAGCTACGTATTATTTAATCAGATATACCTATCATAATTTACTTAACTACCTTACCATTGTTTAGCACTTAAGTAGTTTTTTATTGTCAATATAAATAATGCATGATGAGCATCTTTGCATATAATGATTTCTCTGGTTTTTGTTGTTTCCTCAGATGCATGCTCCTAGTGGTCAAATGTTATAAATATTTTAAAGGCTCCTTGTTCAAATTGAAGTCCAAAAGTCAGTACCAATTTATACTGTTTCCAGCATCTTAAGTGTCCAAATGACAGAATTTTAAAAGTATTTCACTGGTGTTGATTTGGTTTATATGTTGAGATGATTCAGAAAACCATTAAAAAGTGAATATGTAGAGATAAAGCATTTGACTGACTGTACATATTTTGGTTCAGCCTCATTGTTAAACCAGAAGTCATTGTTCATATTCACAATGTCTCAGATGTGGAAAAGGGCGTCTGATTTTTGCCACATAGAAGTATGATGCCAGGGACAGAACTGAATGACTAGCCAGACATGCTGAGTTGAAAGATAGAGTTAGGATTTGAACATTGTACTCAGTCTCCACTTTATAGTCTAAGCCCTTTTCACTGTAAATTTGGGAGTGTGCTGCATTTAGAGATATTTTCATAAAACTAGAAAATAAGAGAGAAATTTGAGATTGCTAAAATGTATGCCACTATTGTCAGAAGTTGCAATTACAGCTGTCTTATTGTGCTGTTTTTTTAATTATATTTTCTGCAATAATAAAGGTTGAGTTCTAATTAAAAAATTAAGAATAAACCTTTAATTTACTTAAATTTTGATAGCTGAAATACAAGTTCTTTTGGGATCTTTTAATATGATTTTTGCTTTTGGGAAAGTTATTTGCTTTTTATGTTTATTAAATATATAATCTATACTTGTTTATGCTGTTTAAAAATAAAATAAACCCTAGTTAAACTTTTTGATGAGTATTATCTTTTTTTTAAATGTTTTTATTGCTTTCAGAGAGAGAAAGGGAGAGGGAGAGACAGAGACATCCATAAGAGAGAAACATTGCACGCCTCCTGCTGGGTATCCAGCCTGCAACCAGGGTATGTGCCCTGACCAGGAATTGAACCAAGGACCTCCTGGTGCATGAGTCAATGCTCAACTACTGAGCAACACTGGCCGGGCATAATGAGTATTATCTTGATAACATGCTCACCAACTGAGAAACTGATGCAAAGTAGGTCATCTTAAAAGCAAGTTATTTGAACAAAACAGAAATAGACTCATAGATACAAATTAACAAACTGGTGGTTGCCAGAGGAGTGGAGAATGACAGGGTGGGTGAAACAGGTGAAGGAGAATAAGAGGTAGAAACTTAATTTATAAAGTAAGTCATGGGGATGTAACATACAGCATGAGAAATGTTGACAATGATATTGTAATAACTTTATATGGTGACAGATGGTAACTAGCCATACCGTAGTGATAATTTTGTAATGTACAAAAATAGTGAATCGCTGCATTGTATACCTGAAACTAATATAATAGTGGATGTCAACTCTAATTCAATAAAAATAAATTGCATTAAATGTAAAAATAAAACTAAGTTATTTGATATAACACTGAAAATTCTTCTTGCTTAAAATTCTTGGAAGGAAAGTTTTTCTTAGGAAAGACTATATTTAATTATACTATAAAAGAGGGATGTTGCCCTGGCCAGGTGGTACAATTGGTCAGAGTCTTCTGGTATAGCAAAAGGTTGTAGATTCGATTCCCTGTCAGGGCATGTATGGAAGGCAACAGATCAATGTTTCTTTCTCACATTGATGTCTGTCTCTCTCTCCCCCCCCTCCCTCCCCACTTCCTCTCTTTAAAAAAACAAACAATAAAACATCCTTGGGTGAGGATTTTTAAAAAAGGATGTAAAAAATAAACAATGATGTTTCTTTAATCTCATGCCTTGTAGTGACAGATCAGAGACCTTCTGGACACTTGGGTCACATACACATATTATATAATAAAACTAGAGGCCCGGTGCATGACATTTGTGCACTCGGTGGTGGGGGATGGTCCCCCAGCCCAACCTGCATCCTCTCGCAGTCCGGGGGCCCTTAGGGGATGTCCGACTGATGGCTTAGGCATGCTGGGAGTGGGCCTAAGCCGGCAGTCGGACATCCTTAGCATTGCTGCGGAGTCAGGAGAGGATCCTGCCACCACCACTGCACTCCCCAGCTGTGAGCCCGGCTTCTGGCTGAGTGGTGCTCCCCCTGTGGGAGTGCACTGACCACTAGGGGGCAGCTCCTGCATTGAGCATCTACCCCATGGTGGTCAGTGTGTGTCACAGAGACCTTTCGTTCCGCCATTTGGTTGATTTGCATATTAGCCTTTTATTATATAGTATTACCTTCCCAGTGCCAAATTAGATAGAAGCTAACATTTAGAAAATGTTCTCGTTTTATAAATGAATACCAAAGCTTTGGAATGTTTAATATAAGAAATCGTGCCCCTATACATCATTAACACTCAGTTGTGTTTAGGAATATTAAATTAGTAAAGATTTATAGCTTCAAATAATTACTAACTTTTGTGATGACATTCATGTTAGAATATGTATTTGGAAAAAAAGAATGTCGGCATTTTCCATAGGAGGAAATACTTCCAGTTCTTAGTTTTGTAATTCTGCTTTTTAATTTTATGTTCTAAAATACTGTTGACCTCTGAACAACACGATTTTGATCTGTGTGGGTCCACTTGCTAGTATATGCAGATTTTTTTCAATAACTATGTTGGAAAATTTTTTGGAGATTTTCTTACTACTGTGAAGCAATTGTGTCAAGTAGGCTAGGCTACCATAAAGCAATCATATTGCTGCTGCTTCATTATCAATGCAGGAACTGTTATACCTGTAAATAAATATGAATTTCTTCTTCACATTATCTTTTCATTTTTGATATCTATTGTTAGTAATACATTAACATCTAATGTTTTGTATCATATAAGACAGTATTGATGTAGGTACTGACAAATGATGCATCTTGTAAACAGATGACATGAACTTACAGTATTGATAAATATAGTACTATTAATGTATTTTTCCTTATGATTTTCTTAATAATACTTTTTCTCTAGCTTACTTTATTGTAAGAATACAATATATAATACATATACAGTATATAATACATATACAAAAAATGGGCTTTCTTTACTGGTAAGATTTATGGTCAACAGAAGGCTATAAGCAGTTAAGTTTTTGGGGAGTCAAAAGTTATGCACAGATTTTTGACTGCCTGGGAGTTGGCGCCCTTAACCATGGTGTTGTTCAAGGGCTAACTGTATAGTACTTAAAATCAACCCCTGTAAAATGATTACTGAAGTCTTTCCTTGTTAAAGCATGAAGTTTCCTACTTAAAATCAACTTATATATCCCCAATTCAAAACTAATTTGTCTTTGCCTGTTATGTTTAGTAGGATGTAAATAGCTGTACCATCCAAAAAGTTTGTAAATTCTTTGATCAACTCTGATAATAAAGTTAAAATCTTAAATGTATACTTGGCAAGAAAAGTTAGTATTTTTGTTCTTAATTATTACAACTTACTTTTTTCAGCATTTCACTGTTTTCTCTTAGACCATGTTGTTATAACATGTAAAGGCCATAGATGGTATTTAAAGTCCTTATTTTTACATACCTGGAAGACTTATTTATAAAATAATAGAAGAATTTTATTGTTAATTTAGTGGCAGTTTAAAGAAAACCCATATATAGCTTGAGGGGATATATGAAAACTTGCTTTAAGAAATGATGAGCCATATCTCTGACTCAGTAGGAGATGTGTGTTCCCACCAAGCCTTGGGATTTGGTAGTGTGCTTCTTTTTAGTATAAGAAGTATGAGGTTAAGCACTTGTCCACACTGTAGGATTATACAAATGTTTTTACTTTTCTTATTTTTACCAGTGGTGTCACTAGTTAGAGCATGAAGCTATATGGCTTGAGGAAAAATGTAGTGCTTTTATGAGCCATTGAATTTTCATCTGTGTCCACATTTTTTGAACATATGAAATGAGAATGTATGAAATGAGATGAGAGTAATTTTATGAAAAAAGAAAATGTATGCCTTACTAATTGTGGGATAAGGGTATTTTTTTCTATCATGAACACAGTGTCATTATCCTAGGTAGCTGGAAAAGTAAATGTTTCTGAAAGTATGATACAACTTTCATACTTTAACTTTATTTACATATGCAATTTTCAGAAACTTGCCAACAAAAACTTACATTTGGACAGTGCAGCAGGCAAGTACTGTTTAGTGAGAAATGGGGTTTGTTCTTGAGTAATTATTCCATTTGGATTAATGCAGCCTGGGTGGTGGTTAGACAACCTTGGGGTTTGCTAAGCTCTACTTATTCTAAGAGGACTCTATCCTTGCAGACCATAAGTCTTCAAAAGTGTCCCCAAAAGTGGTTACTTCTACTTTAAATTTAGTGTGACCATCCAATAGCTATAAGGTAATAGTGGAATAACTTTCTTCCCTTTAAGACTTGGCACACAAATAGTTTTGTGTAAAAATGAAAATTACAATTTCTCTTAACAGCTGTGACATCTTATGAAGATCTTGGACTCTTTGCATTTGGATTATGTGGAAAGGTAATTTTTTTCTTCTCCTTGCTATGTCCAAAATCCAGAGAGGCATATTTTCCTTCTCTTTCCAGTTAGAAAAGACAAGTATATACCAGGGAAAGAAATTAGAGAAATAAAAGGAAGTTAAAGTGAAGACAGAATGATGGGAACAGGAAGTGGAAGAGAAGAAATCTCTTTATGCCCTTTCTAAAAATGCATCAATAAATTTAATTCAACACTTAAATCTTTTAGTACTTTTCACCCTAATGAAGGACAGCAATGACTTGGATAATTTTAAAATAGTAGCAGTGGTCTATTTTAAGTTTTCCTTATTAATTTTGATTATATTCTCTGAGTATATCCCCAAAAAGACAGGAGAGTAGAGAAGCATAGGATTAAAATTATACCATAACTAGCCCTAGCCAGTTTGGCTCAGTGGATAGAGTGTCAGCCTGTGGACTGAAGGGTCCTGGGTTTGATTCTGGTCAAGGGCACATGCCTGGGTTGCGGGCTCGATCCACAGTAGGGGGGCGTGTAGGAGGCAACGGTCAATGATTCTCATCATTGATGTTTCTATCTCTCCCTCTCCCTTCCTCTCTGAAATCAATAAAAATATATTTTAAAAAGTTATACCATGACTATTTACAAAATGGCTAATTAGAAGATCATATTATTTAAGAGCTTAACAGTGCTGCAAGATTTTGTAGCTATCTCATTTATAGGTGAGGAAATTAAGGCCCAGAGAAATAGAGGGGCCTATTTCTCCACAGTTACTTAAAGGACTCTAGGCTCTAACTGCCTTTTCCTCCTCAGAATAAAAAAACTAACAGCAATATTTGTTGGGCATTCATTTGTGATAGGCATACTAAACTAATTTAGCAGGTAGGGAAACACTGTCTTCCACAGGTGATCAGGAGGTAAATATTGTTAGTACCATAGTACTTTTTTTTTTAATTTCTCAAGAGCTATCATACTTATAAAACCTATTTTCATATTGGTTTCAAACAGGCCTTTTTCTTTTTATTTGTAAATCTGTTTTTTATGGTTTTGCTTGTTTATTTTGTTTTTAAATCTAAAAGAATACTATATTTTTAGATGGCTGAACTAATTTCTAAGGCAAGTCTGGAAGGAAAAAGATCTATGTAATAGGGAAAACACCTATATTTACATTCAAATTTACTAAAGGGATAAAGTACAAAAGTGCAAAATGGAGAATAGTTACTTAAGGGTAAAGGGTTTTGTTCATACCCCAGTAACAGTTTCTCTTTCCTAAAGGTCAGAATGTTTGGTAGAATCATGATCAGTTTCCTGCATTCAGTTTAACCAAGGAGGAAGAAAATGTTACTTACATAAGAAAACTCTCCAATTAATTGAATATGTTCTATAACACGACTCTAAGTATCATCAGTGTTATTTCCCATTAGTATTTCCTGAATTCCTTGTATAGCAGGAGGGTCTAAATGAGGAGCATGGATTGTTGAATCCTCTTTCCTAGAAATCTAGAATAGCTGCATTATCATTTTAATGTACGCACCTGGTACGTCGTAGGCAGGTACACAGATAGAGGGCACTCCAAATAGGAGTTGCTTGTCTGCCTTTTAAATATTTTCTCTTCATTTTCACAATTGGGTTGAAACTTCCCTATTACCTGCTTTCCAGATATAATATGGATAGTGATATTATATATTGATAGGATAACATTGTTCTGAGAATTAAAGAATATTTTTGAAATGTTTTTTGAAAATTTTAAGGAAGATTTTTGAATTGTCTCTAAATTGATTTATTTACTAACCAAACAAATATGTCTTGAGCAAATACCACATCATGCACTGTGGTAGATAAGAAGATAAATAAGTAGATAGATAGATAGATAGATAGATAGATAGATAGGCTTTCTAGATCTTAAATGCTAAAAAAAGAAAACAACGGAAAAAATAATCACCAATAAGTTAATATTATTACTTTTCACAAGATATTAATAGAAAAAAATCCATTATTATATATGACTGAAAAGAAATCCAGTTATTATGTATGACTGATGAAAGGTAGTGTTAAAAAAAAGTTCAAAATAGTCTTTTCACAAATAACTGAATTTTGAAACTAATTTTTAAATGGGTTGATATGCAAAGTTTTTTATTTTTATTTTCTGGAAAATGTTAGAGAGACGATGACCACATCTTCAAAGACGTGTGTCTAAATTTTCCTCTCATTAGTCCTGCTCTGGAGACTCCAAGGCCTCTAGGCCTCAGTAACTTAGATTGTTCCCAGGATAGGTAAATGCTGTGCCACTGATGGGATTCCTGGAAGGGTGATCTGTTTCCAATCTATGTAGGACTGCATGACCCTAGATAGTTAGTTCCAACACACATTGGGGGTGCAAATCCACCAAGATTTGTTTGAGTGATCGGAAGGCCCAAGTGGAAGGAGAATGTCTTTCTTCTGAGTACATCTGGTTACCAAGAATGGATTAACTGCTGTCTTGAGTTTCCCAGGAGTCTCATCAAAGATCACAAGCTAGCAGCCTGCAGGCTGAACTTAGTCCTCAAGCATATTTTGTTCAGTTCAAATCCTTTTTATTTTTAACTGATTGCTAACTAAGAGTTATGAAATTTTAAAGAATTCAATTTTTGGCTTTCACAAATTGGAAGATCTAGCTGCATTGGATCCACATGCCCATATGCCAGCAACTAACCAGAGCTGAGTAGCAGCTGCCCCATTTTGAGAGGGGAGGAGTTCACCAATTCTATATATTACCGATTCCAGAGAGGAAGGGAGAGAGAGAGACAGACAGAAACATCAATGATGAGAGAATCATTGATCAGCTGCTTCCTGCATACCCCATACTGGGGATCGAGCCTGCAACCCAGGCATGACCGGAATCTAACCCGGGATCCTTCAGTCCACAGGCCGACGCTCCATCCACTGTGTCAAACCAACCAGGGCAGATACTACAGTCTTTATAACCTCCCATTGTCTTACACTCAGCCCACTGCATATTATTGAGTTTGAAATGTTGCTAAATTTTCAGGTTTGAGAATATATGGATTCTAAAGTTTCCTGCTCTAGATTATTATTCCCTGGGACAAGAGATGTGGAAAGCCTTGATGTATGAGGGGTAATATATTTAGAAGACTATATCATTTCCTTTTAGGTAGTACAGCATTGGCAGAGCACACCTCAAGCTGTCTCAGTCTACCTACTAAAGCAGTGTGGTAAAGCAGTAAAAATGGAGAATGAGACCAGATAGATCCAATTTCATTTTTTTGGTACTTTGATAACCACTGATTACTAGCTTTTTAACACTTTTAACTGTTAAAAATGACTGCCAAGAAAACTTTCAAAAGTATTCTTTATAGTAACCATGGAACTATTAAAGAAAGGCTTTTTTATGTAATGATTATTAGTTTTATGTATTACAAATGGCTGGCAAAATTTATTCTTTCCAATTTTTCTGGATTTCTGCATCTGTTTTTTAGTAGTAGTTATTGGATTTTAATAAAATACCATTTTTTATATTACTTCCCCTTTCATCTTCTAAATACATTTGTTCTTTTATAGGTGGTGGTGGCAGGCACCATAATAATCCAGAATATTGGAGGTAAGCAGTGGAAAGTACGTGGTTTATGTATAGATGTGATGGAAATGATTTCCTCTTTTGGTTTCTTGCCGTACCACAGGTCTAGCTGGGAACCTGAACCCCTGTAGTCACAGGTATCCTCAGAAACCTTGCGTGTTGTCCTCATTACTCTTTTTTTGTAGGTTTTTTAAGCAGCCCTCCTGGACAATAACTTCTAAATCAGTTCCAGGTAAACCCTTGATTTCAGTCTTGCTATTAGGCCCACAACACACCTCTCAAACATTTGCGTTCTGTAGTTGTGATAGTGGTGAGATATTATTTAGAACAGCGGTCACCAACCGGTGGTCTGTGGACCACTGGTGGTCCATGAGGTCTGAAAGGTTGGCGACCGCTGCTTTAGAAAACTCTCCAGGTGATTCTGAAATACTTCCCCTCCACTTTTGTCCTACTCACCCCCATTAGTGGGGACTGCTTTAGTGGGAATGGTAGTCTATGAGCTGTGAACATTCAGGTGTAGACAAACAGTATCCTCTTATAGCAGAGAAAAATGACCAAGTGGTTTAAAAAATAGACCTGAGAAAAACATTGTCACATTTATCTGTTATCTTGTTCCCATCAAAAAATCCCAGTATCAAGAACCAAAAATTAGTGTTACTAGAGATAGCTACACATTTAAATACAAAATATGGGAATTATATTTATATATGTTGTAAAGAAGTTACATAGTGCTGAACATGTTTTTAGCATTGACTGGAGTACTAAGTTAATGCTATTAGTTTAAAAGCAGCGATTTTCAACCTGTACGCTGTGTTTAAATTCTTGAATTTAAAAATTCAGGAATTTTTAAAGCATACAATACCTGGCTATTTAGTCAGGGCACTGACCTATTTTCCCTTAAATCAGTGGTTCTCAACCTTCTGGCCCTTTAAATACAGTTCCTCATGTTGTGACCCAACCATAAAATTATTTTTGTTGCTACTTCCTAACTGTAGTGTTGCTACTGTTATGAATCATAATGTAAGTATCTGATATGCAGGATGGTCTTAGGTGACCCCTGTGAAAGGGTCGTTCGACCGCCAAAGAGGTTGCGACCCACAGGTTGAGAACCGCTGCCTTAACTTGTCAAATTTAAAAAAAAATGACAACAGTCAACACAATAGCTGTCCAGTGTGAATGAATCAAAATTATACCTAATTTTTTGTCAGATCAGCAAAAAAAATATTTTTGGTATGCCTCAGAATTTTAGTAATTAGTTTATGTGTGCCATGAGATTAAAAAAAAAAAGGTTGAAAATCGCTGGTTTAAAGGAATATACACAGAGAAGGTTGACATGCACTTTGGGTCTTACACAAGATTGTATGGTCAAAGGAAATTTTAATCTTATATGTAACAGTTCAAAATAATTGAAAGATGACAGTTTTAATAAAGTTCAACTCTGATACTCGAGATCTGAACTATTGCACTTTAAGTATTATTCAACTGAAGTCTATCCTATCCTATCTAATAATAGACAAACATGGTAATTAACTGTACCTCCGACACGCTTCCCATTGGCTAATCAGGGTGATATGCAAATTAACTGCCAACCAAGATGGCGGCCGGCAGCCAAGCAGCTGAAGCGAACAGGAGGCTTGCTTGCTCCAGTGATGGAGGAAGCCAAGGTTCCCCGCCTGCCGCCGCCCAGCTCTGAGCTGCACTCTAAGCAACTATGTTGCAATTATAGAAGCTAAATAATCCCCAGAAACCTGCTTTCAGCCAGCCCGGCCTCAGAGCTGGAGCTGAGCCTCAGAGCTAAGGCCAGCTGTCAGCTCCAGTGACAGCCATAGAAGGTAAATAAATCCCAGAATAAAAAGAAAAAAAGGAGAGGTTGGGAGCTTCAGTCACCCGCCAGCCTGAAAACGGCCCTCAGCCCCTCACCCAGACTGGCCAGGCACCCCAGTGGGGACCCCCACCCTGAAGGGGGTGTGACCAGCTGCAAACAGCCATCCGCCCCTCACCCAGGCTGGCCAGGCACCCAAGCGGGACCCCCCACCCTGATCCGGGACACCCTTCAGGGCAAACCAGCCAGCCCCCACCCGTGCACCAGGCCTCTATCCTATATAGTAAAAGGGTAATATGCAAACTGACCCTAACAGCAGAACGACTGGGAATGACTGGTCACTATGACACACACTGACCACCAGGGGGCAGACGCTCAATGAAGAAGCTGCCCTCTGGTGGTCAGGGCGCTCTCACATGGGAGGAGCTCTGCCCAGCCACAAGCCAGGCTGATGGCTGCCAGTACAGCGGTGGTGGTGGGAGCCTCTCCTGCCTCCTCAGCAGCGTTAAGGATGTCTGACTGTAGTTTATGCCTGCTCCCCGCTGGCAAGTGGACATCCCCTGAGGGCTGCCGGGCTGCCAGAGGGATGTCTGATTGCCATCTTAGGCCCAATCCCCCGGGGAGCAGGCCTAAGCCAGCAGGTGGTCATCCCCTGAGGGGTTCCAGACTGCGAGAGGGCACAGGCCGGGCTGAGGGACCCCCCCTCCCCCCCGAATGCACAAATTTTTGTGCCCCGGGCCTCTAGTCTTTAATGGGTTTCTTGGTCAAGGAAAATATTAACATTCCCTTGGCTACATTTAGTGAGAGTTAAGCAAATTATCCAGGTTATCTTATCCTCCCCCAAACACTTTATTATTCCATTTTATTGATGTGGTAACTAAGAGTTAGAAGAGATAGACCAAAGAAATTATGTACTTACTAGAGACCTGATGCACAGATTCGTGCACCGATGGGGTCTCTCAGCCTGGCCTACGCCCTCTCACAATCCAGGACCCCTTGGGGGATTTCAGACCGCTGGTTTCGACCCGATCCCCGTGGGCCGAGACCGGCAGTCCGACATCCCCTGAGGGATGTAGTAGTGGCAGGAGGCTGGGGAGGAGTCTGAGCCTGGCACCGAGCCGCTCCCACTCATCCCGGCACTGCTGCTCCTGCAGCCACTGCCACTCAGTAGCACTGCTGCAGAGGCGGGAGAGGCTTACGCCCCCACAGCTGCGCTTGCCAGCATGAGCCTGACATCTGGCACCCGTTGGTCAGCTGAGCGTCGCTCCCGCTAGAAGTGCACTGACCACCAGGGGGCAACTCCTGTGTTTAGCGTCTGCCCCCTGGTGGTCAGTGCACGTCATAGTGACTGGTTATTTGGTCATTTGGTTGTTTAGGCTTTTATATAGATAGATAGATATGCATAACCCATAGACATAGTAGTGTGGTGAAGGCCTGGCAGGGGGTGGAGGAATGGGGAGAGGGAGGGGCTGAGTGGAGAGGGTAAAAGGTGGGGATATCTGTAATGTCAAAAATAAAAAATATATTTTAAAAAGAGTTAGGGGTATTGAAGAACTTGCTCATGATCCACATAGCTAAGTTGTAGAGCTAAAGATTTGAATTGAGCTTAAGAGCCCAATATTTCATCTCAGTTCTATATGATCAGGAGTCTTGGTTCTACTTATCCTTTGTAACTAATTTTAAGTCATTCCTTGAGGCACATTATTTTCTCACTCCAAACCTTAGTTTTCCCACCCATTCAAAAGGAGGCTTGGTCCAGTTGAGTTCCAAGAGAATCTTGGAGGGAATGGCTGAGCCTATGAAGACCAGGCATTTGGGTATGTTGGAGGAATTGCCTTTTCCAACCTAATTTTGTATTTGTGGCTTATTTTTGTGACTGTGTGGATCAGACAGTGACTCTCCATTGCCCTACAAATAAAATACTTCACTATGGCTTAAAAAAATATTAACAGTCCAACAATAAATTGTAGTTGCCATTGCTCTGGAAATCCTGAACATTCTTGTTTTTATTCTTTCAATGTTCATGGAAACAAATATTGAATGAGAGGAATGCTTTCTTGGATGTCACACAAAATAATTTCTGTCTAACAAACACTACTTTACTCTTCAGACTAGAATTCAGTAAAATAAGTCCTAAGTCCTTTAGGAATCTATATAATGTCATTGATTTTAAGATCTTCTTTGGAATAATTTATTTTATTTTAGCAAATACTTATTGCTTAACTGTACACTTGATCTCTAATATGAATGTATATTTTGTTATTTTCAGTTCATCATTGTCCTCTCCATGTAATTAGTAAGCACCATCACATTTTTTCTTAGATTAGGTTGAGCTATTTTTTTTATCATTTTATGTAGAATTTTCATTCCAGGAATTTGGATCCAATTTTGTGACCCTGGCACAATGCCTGCTTGCTGTTGTATTCTCTATATCCTTCACCCTAATCCCTGTTCTCTAATCTTGTATGTAACTGTTATTGAACAGGATTCTATTTTAGCCCTTGCTGTTATTAAAGTTATCTCTGTATGTGCTTTTCTCCCCCACTACATTTAAGTTCCTCCAGGGCAAGGATTATGTCTCATTTCTCTTTGTACTCCCAGAACCTAGCACAATACCTGAGGCTTGATGAACCTTTGTTGAACTGATTGGAGCTGTATATGATTTATATGGGCTATTTCCAAGTACTTTTAAGTGCCCGGGTTGCGGGCTTGATCCCCAGTAGGAGGCGTGCAGGAGGCAGCTGATCAATGATTCTCTCTCATCATTGATGTTTCTATCTTTCTCTCTCCCTCTCCCTTCCTCTCTGAAATCATTAATATATATATATATCAAGAAGAGAAAAGGGGCCCAGCTGGTGTTGCTTAGTGGTTGAGTGTCAACCTATGAACCAGGAGGTCGTGGTTCCATTCCCAGTCAGGGCACATGCTTGGGTTGCGGGCTTGATCCCCAGTGTGGGGTATGCACAAGGGCAGCCAATCAATGATTCTCTTTCATCATTGATGTTTCTCTCTCTCTCTCTCTCTCTCTCTCTCTCTCTCTCTCCCTTCCTTTTTGAAATCAGTAAAAAATATGAATTAAAAAAAGAAGAGAAAAGGGGATTGCTAGACTGATTGCTAGTTTTAAATATATGAAAAGCTGAACATGAAAAAATAAAAAGATGCTAGACTAATTCAGTATTGTTCCAGAGAGCAGAGCTGGTTC